ATTTCATCCCCTTAAACCATCCTTTCGTCATTCTTTAGTGGTTATAAATAGGTTTTTATTCTTGATATTTAAATCCCCTAAACCATTTCCCCCATGAATACACCATAAACTGGAATACAGGGTGATAAATAAGTTAAAAAACTTAAAATATGGAAATTTACAAGTTATTTCCACATCAAAAAATTGAAAACATTTTCTGGTATAACTCTGAATTGCGAATGTCTAACTTCCCCCAATATTCAGAAATATACTGGGCCAGCCTTCCATAAGATACAGCAGTTTTAGGAAGCATTTGGGCATACGAAATACTAATGCAACTGCTAATTATAATATGTATGCTGAGCATGTTGGAAATTTTAAAAACCTGTCAGGCTTTTTTTGTAGCTTGTAAGGAAAAGTGTTCGTGCCTACAAATGTTAAATGCCTTGCATTGTTTTCAAAGCTGCACATTCCTTTGAAGAGTTAAGTTTTAAACTCCTGTTTAGCTGTAGGAAACAATCCACAAGGCCTCTGGATGAATAGTATTCTTGGCAACATATGAAACCTTATATAAATAGTCAAAGATGGTAAAAGGAACTGATGCCAAATAGGCAGCAGAGCAGGCACTCTTTGGAGGGCTATGCAGGGCAGTAAGAGGGATGGGGAGCCCTTTTGGTGTTAACATTTGAATCACAAGGGGGCAGGCTCCTCCAGGAAGAGGGAAAATCTGCGCTGAAGGACTTAAATTAGCCCTGATTTCACATCACAGAAAAAGAGAGAGAAAACTTACATCTCTGGATGTTGTGTCTGTGTACAGACCCGCACATTCATTAATAAGTGGGGGTAGGGGGTTTGTCCATTTTCTCCCACTAGTTGCAATGTGATTTGTGTTTATTTCCCTGTTCTGTGGATCACTGACAATGACTGAGTGTAAATATTGCATGGACTGGCGTCAGGGACTTCCATGGGCTACCCACTACTTTTTGACAATTAGGGACAGTTTATTAGCAATTGGTTATATGGCAACTTACATTTTACCATGCAGATCAGAACATTTGTAAGACTTTGAAATAGCTGCTCACTTAGTCATCTTCCACAAGATCATTAACCCTTCCCCACTCCTATGGACCAACAAACAGCTCCCATTCTTACCTGTAGCAGGAATTGGTAGGCATTTCATTTTAATTAATTTTTATGAGGTTTTCCCAAAATTTGAAAAATTATTCAAGGTGGAAAGATATTGAGATGAAAAACTGAGAGTTGATTGCCCTGTTCTTAAAACTTTTGACTTCAACTCCTGTTTATTCACCCATTTTAGGGCTGAATTACTGCTGCCTTGTTTCCTGAGATGATCTTTGTCATCTTGATGGAAATATCTGTTTCTATGGAATCTGGCTGGTGCAGACAGGGAATATTCATTTCAGGCTACTTCTGAAGAATTTACCAAGATTCACAATTTCTTCATTTTCAGGAAAGAATGTGCTCAAGATCTTTTAAAAAAGCAAGTGCAGGTGAAAGAGAAGCTGACAGATTTTCTCTAATCTGTAGGCAAGACATTTAACAAAATGTCCCATTTAAGGAGCTTATTTGGAACATATTAAATAGTAGCAAGTATTATTTTCTTTAGATGAACTTTTGCTGTAAAATAATCATGGGTTTAAAAGCCTTGATTTGCTTGTGCAAGTGTGGAGAAATCACAACTGGTCCAAAACTTGTGAAATCAAAATGTAATCCTTAGGTGGAATAATGTGATCCTGTGTTCAGAGGAATTCACCAGCTGGCAAATTAGACCATTCTGTGAGCTCCACAGACCAAATTTCAACATATGCCAATCATCTTCAAATAGAGAATGTTTGCACACTCTCTGTGTTTAAGATTATGTTTATTTAAGAACATAAAAGAGGTGTGGATCAGTCCAAAGGTCCACCTGTTAGAGCCATATGAATTTTGTGCTATAATAAACTTGTTAGCTTTTCAGATACCACAAGAGTTTCTGCTGTGGTTATTGCTTCCAAAAGTCTTATGCGTCTGCTGATCTGTACTTTTTTCCAAAAGACGTATTGCCACCATCAATTGGCTTCTGATGTGGCTCAAGTCCCTTTGTGAAATACAGGAAGTGTAGTTCAGCATTATTTACTTTTAATTAACTGTTTTGGGTGTTGGATCTTTCTTATTTATTTATTTATTTGATTTATATCCCGCCCATCTGGTATATTCTACCACTCTGGGCGGCTAACAATAAACATTCTGCTGTGGTTATTGCTTCCAAAAGTCTTATGCGTGTGCTGATCTGTACTGTCTTCCGAAAGATGTATTGCCACCATCAATTCGCTTCTGATGTGGCTCAAGTCCCTTTGTGAAATACAGGAAATGTAGTTCAGCATTATTTACTTTTATTTAACTGTTTTGGGTATTGGATCTTTCTTGCTGTATAACACAACAAAGGAGTTGTTTATATGCTATATCGAGCATTACCACAGTCTATGTACATACATACATTCATCAATTGAATGGATAAATTTCTATTATTCATTCAGCCCAGGTCCAGTTGTACACATTACCTGCCTCCTCCATGATGTCATGGTGCATCTAAACCAGTCTCCAAGGCTCTTTGGCCACATAAGTTAGTCTCTCCCCCCCCCACACACACATTTCTTTCTTGAACGGCCACCCGTACTTTTTGTTTCTCCATTAAAAAAGGTTTCTTAGCTATCCACTCAGTCCAATAAAATTTAGCATCTCGTGACGAATCCATGTTTCAAAATTTTCTTTTTTATAATAGCCTATGTTAAAGTCCATGATTCCATGTCATGCATAAAGAGTATACAGTAATACACAATGAGTATTCCCAAAGCTAATTTCAAGTTTTTGTTACATTTTGCAGTGCTTCAGTTTAAAGAAGCTACTGTGTGCCTATTTCATGGTGATTCTTGCACTCTTCATTGAACCAAATTCCAACGTACATTGATTTTGTCAACAAGTTCCATAGTTTCATTCTGGATCTTTAACTGAAGTTTTTGGTCTGTTTTCCTTTTATTGGTTATCATGATTTTGGTTTCCTTAACATTTATTTTTAGATTATGTTCATTACTTACTTGAGTTAATAATGCCAGCTTTCAACTGTCAGCTGCATATCAAAAGTAGCTGATAATCTTTCAGTTGATCTGAGACCATCTTTTAATACGGCAAGTGTGTCTCTACAGATGCTCTCAGAGCAGAAATTGAAAGCAATAGTGGGAGTGTGCATCGTTCTTGTACTCATCTACATATTTTAATGTTCTTTATCATCTAGTCTACAATGTTCACTGAAGCTTTTGTTTGCCTGTATAGGTAACCACTTATATGTCTATCTCTTGATCTCTGTATTGAGTTTTGGATGGCAGATTTCTGTATTTCCATTCTAGTACTGATCTTTGCCCTAGATTAAGTAAGATTTTAGCACCTAGGTACAGATCAGTTAGAACAGTTCTCACATTCATCTGAATGAGTGTACATTCCATGTGAATGAACGTTCAATGCAACATGTAAACAACCATCATATTATAGATGCCACCATGATAAAGGTGATGGGATCTGACACACACACACACACACACTCAGCCTCTTTGTAGATGCCACCATGATAAAGGTGATGGGATGCTGACCACACACACACACACAGCCTCTTTAATGGCATTTTATGGTTTATTTTATATCTTTCTTTCAACATGTGACACTGAAATTCCTGGAGGAGGGAAGTTCTTCATATAATAGATACACTGTTGCAAGTTTAGTTCTGTGAGGTTCAGATGTCTTCCTTCAAAGCAGCCATTCTGATGCGAAATAATCACATTGTCCCAATACTCTGACAAGTGTCACTGAAAAATGCAATGTTTCTCCCCAAGCTAGCACATCTGTTAAGTGTAATAAGTATTGTGCTTTGTGGGTTGTGAAATGCCAATGTCGAAAGCACTTGTGGAATTGCGCCTGTGACACCGTTGGCAACAAGCGACACAGTTTTCTCTCCTCCCCTCCCCCTCCCCATGGAGGGCTATTTTGGGAAGATTAAAACATTCTTACTGTTTTCAATTTTCATTTATCAACTGTTTCTTCAAATGTTTGCAAAATATTCCCCTGTTGAAACACTCAAACAAGTTGAGACAAGACATCTTATTGGTTCTCCCACATAATCTTAGTAGTGAATAAACAGTACACAATTCGACTGAAAAATACCAGTGAAGACAGGAAGTATAATATTTTGTTCTTTATCTCATTTATAGACACTGTCTTCCACATGTAGTGCTTTGTCTTTTTATAAGTTTCTTTATCTTTTTCCTTAATGCAGAAAATCTGTTATGGAGAAAAAGACAGAATAGTAACGTAGTGTCTTCTAACTTGCAGCACTAGGTGTTTGGAAGCACCCTCTGTCTTCTGATACTGAGGAAGTCAATTTCTCTTACAGTAAACCTGCTTTTCAAATTAAGCCAATGTTTATCTTTCAATGGCCAGTCATAAAACAAAGCACATTAAAGGTAAAATACATCGGTGAGGAAAAATGTGAAATGACAAATAAATATTTTTCACAAGTAGAAGGAGCACCTCTTCTAAACCTGTTCTTCATGGAATCATCTGGTGACAACTGGTTTGACCTTGGATCTAACTTTAAGTGTGCAGGGTCAAACTAGATTGAACCATGTTCACTCAATTTGTGTTCTGTTGATCATATGCACATGTATACACTGAAGACTGTTTGTATAATTTTCTGCTATGAGGTGTAAGCTGTTTGCCCTGTAGGATAAAGTCCTCATCTAGACAAATTCTGTTTCTAGAGAGTGCGAATATATAAGGAACAAGGACACTAAGAAGACAGCAAACAGAGCACTGATGAAATGCTCTGCTGTGCCAGTGTTTGCTTTTCTCACTGGGAAAGGAAAGAGCAATGATTAAAAATACATGGAAAAACACCATATCCCAGAACACTGTGGACTGAAGTCAGAGACCAGAGGGGACAGCTAATGTGTAACTTAGGTTAGGCAATCAGGGAAATAAATAAACAGGGACCCAAATTGTCACTTGCGATCAGATGTGGAGTGCAGAAAGCAGAGCGAGATCCTCTTCCTAAGTGAGAAAGTCTGGAAGTATGTATTCATTTTCCTCCCTTATAATTGTTGATAGAAAACTATATTA